CTCAGCCGTTTTACACAATTGTAACAATTTTTTTCCAATGAAATAGTCTATTGGCAATGGCTGCACAAGTTATTAAAGTGATTTTGTTCACGGTAAGATCATCAACTCTAAATGAGATGCGTGAAAACTTATTGTTCAGGCCATGATTTATGATTCCACCAGAAGTTTCCAAATAGTGCACTAACAAAATATAAAGCTCAGCTTTGCCTTAACCATTGAAATAAAAAAATAAAAACTATCCTTTTTTATTTTTGCAATTGCCGTTTTGCTAATTTAGCTTAAAAAAAGTATCAAATGTTTTTTCTAGTTTTATTTTAAAACTGAAAAAATCAAAGAACGAACTGTACACGGATTATACACAGATTAAGCCCGTTTTAAAACAACAACTTGTAAAAAGTTAAAGTAGTCAATGTTTCAGTCAGGGTTTACATTTCACATGCCAATATTACATCAAAAGCATTGTCTTTATTTAATACAAATGAAGTACATGATTACATGGAGTGAGTTTTTCTTTTACACAAACTCATACACTTGGTATTTTTGTAATTACACAACAGTATTCCACATTTTGTCAAGAAACTGTACAGTCTGAGTCCATTTATCAAACAAACCTTTATATAATAAATGATCATTTGATAATGATGTGGTTTTGGGGTTTATTAACGAAATCTAGAGCTGTTTAGGAATACCCATGAATATTGATGCACAWTTAAACTGAAATCAGTAGAGGGAGCTAAGTGCACTCAAAGTCACACTGATTAGTTTCTCAAACGCTGTTCATAGTAAAATCTAAAAGGACAAGAGTTCATATGAGATGTTTGTATTGCACTAAGATAAATTAGTTTCACTGAGGTATAAGAAGTGATGAGAAAAGTTTTGTTTAGTAAAATATGGCCTTTTCTTATCAGATATCTATTTTATGCCACAAACAAGTGTAGTGTAGTGATGTTTTTTGTTAGTTGGATAGTGWAAAGTATTTACGACTTACGGTACGACTTTGGGTCAAACATGTCATCAATTCAGTTTACAGAAACAACTTTCCAACAAATGACCCCAGGGCAGAACCACCAGAAGTTTGCTGCAAAAAAAAAAGGCCCAGAATTTAACAATTTTAATAAAATGTAAGCAAACCCTACAACGAGGGGTTTGTACAGTGCATCATTTTTGAATCCTGTGATTATTGACCTGGAAAAATACAGATTAAGTGATATAAAAGAATGCAATTAGTGCGATTAAGGATGTGAGATTAAAATAGTTTACAATTATTTGAATGAAAAATATTAAACTTCTTTGCTTGTAATATCTATCCAAACTCCTTCAAATTAAAAGTCTGCTGATGGCTGATTACAAAGACAATAAAACACCGAGCASCACCTCAACTCAACTGAACTTTCCCTTTAATACCATTAAATTTGTGTTTGTTGACATGACTTGCTTAAAATACTTCAGTTAAAACGTTTAACCTTGTTGAAAGTCCATTAGATAGCTAATACCATTGTTTACTGATTCAACCATGGGAAGAAGGGGTGCAGAAGGTRCAGCAGCACCCCTGATAAATGCAGGATGTGCATGTCCAAATACATGATTTGACACAAATATAAAAAAAAACAGATTTTATTAGTGCTCTATGTGTTTAAAGTCAAATATTTTGTTGCTGAGTTTTGTAAACGTGGTATATAAACCAACACTGTTATTGTAGATTTGTGTGCAAAATTTTATGACTTCTTATAACCTGAAAAAAAGTGGGTTTTAAATGTACTTTTTTTGATGGATATTTTTCACAAGTGTTTAGAGTCAGACAAACTCATACGCTTGCAGCGCCCAAAAATAACGTTAACCATTTCAAACGATAAAACTATTTTCCCTATAGGAGTCTTTTTAAATCACTACAAATAAAATTCCTTTTTTTATTTTCACTGAGTTGTGGTGCTATCCTGCTATTTTTCTAAATGGCCCTTTATGAATGCCTTTTCTTGAACCTCAGGGATGATATTAAACTAAAATTGCCCAGTTGRTAAATTTTCTGTTTTCGGTAAATCCGTTATTTTTTCATATATTTTTTTATTAGTAAAAACGCCTTGAATTGTATTTATTGCACTGAAAAAGAAGCTTAAATATAGGCCATCGGTGATGTGTTATTTTATGGTGTGACAGTTTCTGTCACGATGCTTCTGCTTGGTAGAAAATGTAATAATGACCAAAATTCTCTTTTTCAGTTTTTGGTTGCTCAGACTGTCCAATGTTGCTTATTTTTTATAATATAAATTTCTTGTGTGTAGTAGCTCCTCCRTCATGCCCCCCTCGAGTCATTGACTGACAGCAAAGTTTATGAGCGYGAGATCATCTCAACCAAGAACAGCAGTCTTTGGAAAGTTTTGTAGTTTTGCTGTACATAGGTAGCATTTGTAGCTGCTGGGCCGGAGGTCACCTAAGCCAGGATTAGGTTGTTCCAGGGCTCTGCTTTGGAGCTGGAGGTCCCGCTGTGGCCCCCCGGGGACATTTTCAGAGGAATGGCTCCTCCCTGAGCTGCCATGTAGGCTGGTAAGGCTGAAATCTGTTGAGARAGGTTGGAGATGATGAAACWKAAACKTAGTTTTATGGGATTTGCCTGCATTGCCTGTTCTAATCATTTAATTCTTAGTTTAGCACATTTAAAGGGTACATATCACACTTTTAAATCCTTCATTTTAACATTTAAATCAATCAGTTGGGGTCTATATAYAGTGGAACTGCAATGTTTGGTCTGAATTCCWCCTTACTGTAACTTCACAAGCCCCTCTTTCACCCCTTTTCTGAGGTGTGTCTCAGATCAACTTGTTTTGAGGTCCCATTAAATCCAAACGACAGTGGTCCACTCCAGTTTGAAAGAGGAGTTTACAACTATAGAGCAGCACAGAAACATTCATTTACTATTTAATTWAAAAAGTTGTCAGTAAGGGAAGACTTGTCCATCCAGCCTTACATGTTGGAGCCAGAGGAGAATGCAGACCACCAAAGTTGGTAAATCCAAACCTTATTTGGCAKTTCTGCAATACTTTGGCGTAAWAGTTCAGAAAACTTCGTATAAAATAGAGAAAACCGAATGAGTTAAAAATGACCCAAACATTTTCCCCCTTTCTTTCTTTAAAAAAAAAAAGTCAAATTAAGAAACTAATATTGAGTTCTTTCTCCTGTGGTTTTTTTTTAATCTATCATTTATCTTAAGTGACAAAAAAATTAAGTTTATGAATGATTAACCTTTTCTTTATGGAGGATGGAAACTTTAATTGTTGGAAATAAATGTAAAAATATATAAATGGCTTGAAAAACTAAACACAGAGTTTAAGTTAGTATATTTTTATTGTTTGTTGCTAAATTTGCCACATT